GGGGGGGGGGCAAGAGACTTGCTTGCCAGCTGCCAAACTTGCCTGCACAGCTTAAAATATTTCCCAGCCAGCCTGTCTGCCTGGCCATGTGCTTCATGAATAACTGAGCCCAGGAGAGGGGGTGTGGTTCTTCTTGGCTGCCTATTACTCCAACACGCAGCTCCCATTGGCTGGGCTCTGCCAGAAACCGGCCAATGGGAATGTGCTCGGGGCGGGGTGGCTCCTAAAATTTCCCTTCTCCCCCCAGTTTTAAAACAGAACCGGAGCTCTGCAGCCGTGTTTTTGCCTGGCACGTGGGGCTGCGGGGCAAGCTGGAGAGCCTGCCTGGGGCTCCACGCTGCCTCTGTGGGCCGGGATCTGGTGGCTTGGATCCAGCCCACGGGCCATATTTTGCCTAGGCCTGGCATAACCTAAGGCCCGGTAGTAAAATAGCTTGGCCAGGCCTGAGCTCTTTGACAGACTGAGTGCCAGGGCTGAGACCCAGGAGTCCTGAGTGCAAACGCGGCTGCTTGGAAGCTCCAAACGCTTCCTGACACTTTGCACACGTTTACCTTTGGGCCGGGTCTGCTCCTGCTGGTGTCCTCAGGGACGGCCTCCTGCACGGGGTGGAATCTCCCTCTTGCACCTGACTTGCCTCTTGCTCTTTCACCAAGGATTTTCTTTTTTAACCAGAGGAAACCCAAGTAAATCAACCCCCCGTTGCTGGCCAACAGGAGCCTTTAACACTCCCTACTAGCCAGTTTTGGCAGGACCCTGTGTGACTCAGAATGGCCCATCTGTTTCTTCCCCCGTCTCTCCGTACCCACAACAATCTGCCTGCCCTGCTGCTGGCGGATGTTCGCTCTTGGGCAGGGGCCTATGCACCATGAAATCCGCAAAATAGGATTTAGGGAGGACGCAAGTGGCGCACGTGCCTGTCTGGGCGCACAGCTCGAGGGCGAATTTCACTAAGGATGTTAAGTATCGGGTAATTGACTAACCGAATAGTCAATAGGGCACCTCCGCCTTTGAAGTGTTGGAACAGCCCTTGCTACATCTCAATGGTGAAAGCACCAAAGCCCGGGGTCTGCTGGGGACTCCCTGGCGGACCCCGGGCTGCGTGCGGCACTGCCGCTTTGAAACACCTTAGCGGCGTTTCAAAGCGGCAGTGCCGCATGGAGCCTGGGGTCAGCTGGGAAGTTCCCAGCTGATCCCCGGCTCCACATGACGCTGCTACTTTGACGTACCCTCTCTTCTCCCCCCCCCTTTGCCCCTCTCTGATAGAGGCAGCAAGGGGTGGGGGGAGTGACTAGTTGACTAGTCCTTCACATCCCTAAATTTCGCCAGCTGTGAACGTCTTGCTGCAGCTCCCTCGCCTCTTCCACCAGTCTGAGTTGCTCTAGGGTGCTCTGGCTGCGCCCATCCTCCAGCCCAACTCTCAGGATGTTGGGTGTGGCTGGGGACACTTCCTCGGTGAGGAGGGGCACATAAAGAATCCCATCTGTCTTGACCCCCGGAGAGAGGAGTCAGGCGGGGCAGCAGATGGAGCCCACGGTGGTAGGAGCTTGCGAGTGGGCGCCCTTGGAACCATGCCAAGAGGAGTGTGTGTCATGCATGCCAGACTGCACACAGGTTGCGCATGCAGTAGCTGGTGGGCTCCTCGCAGCCCCCGGGGGGAATTGCTGGGCCTTGAGAAGCAAGCGGCTTTCCTGGTGTGAGCAGCGTGGGAACTGGCGCCCAGGAGCTGTGGTTTGTGCGCGACGCGTTGCTTTGTGATGCCACTGAAGGTTTGTCCTTGTACCTGTAGCAATTTGACTGGGGCAGGCACTTCAGCATGAACTTCACCATCAAGGAGACGAACTGCCGGAAAAGCATGGCGAGCTACCGCCTGGAGGACTGCCGATATCGGCCGAATGGGGTAGGTGTGAATCTGTCCCCTTTCTCGCTGGAGGCATGGCGCCGTTGGGACGTAGCAGCTGCCGTGGGTCTGTCTAGTCCTGTCTCCAGCTGTTATCCGTGTCAGCTGGTTCGGAGGAAGGGTGTAGGAGATAGCCTGCCTCCAGTGGAAGTTTCCTCCTGACCCCCAACAGAGATTGGCTTGACCCCTGATGCATGAGGGTTCACATCCCTTCCAAAACTTTTGTTTGTTTTTAATACTATAACTCTGGATAGCCTCATTACCCATATAAATGTCTGACCCCTATTTGGAATCTTGCTAAGCTTTCAGCCTTATGGATATCTTGTGGCAGTGAGTTCCACAGGTTGTAGTGTGAGGAGGGGGAAAAAAGCCTTTCCCTGTGCTGTCTTCTAAATGGAATTGAATGTGTCTGGTTTTTCATCAGGAGTTCCCTGTCACCCTCTTGGTGCCATTCACTTTGTGCCTGTTCTAGTCTAGGAGCTCTGGCACATCTGAGCTAGATATTTACACCCGCATGGTCACTGGGGTTGTTGCTATAGCTTGGAAAGCTCTGAAGGAGAAGGGAGGTTTAAGTGCCACCCCAGCCATGGAGCCCCGCCCCAATCTGCCACTGGCTTTCCATCCCAACTAGAGTTTTGCTAAACTCCCACAAATGAACTCCAGGGCTGCTCATCTGGTTACAATGGGCACAGATCGGTTCCTAGTTGTCTGCAAGCTGTCCAGCGAGCTGGGGTCTTGTGACAGGTGACTCTGGGACAATCGATGGGTGTTTTGGATGGAGACTTGGACAGAAGCAACAGCATTTGATCAAATCAAAAATGCAGAGTGAAATGTGGAACACAACCCCTTGCAAGTCCAACCTGCCCACGTGGCTCCGGTCATGTTGTGAGGTTTGTGCCCGGCCACGTCCATCGTGCCACGTTCTGATGACCCCTCCCCAAGCCCTTTTGGGAGAGAAGGGAGGTATTTATATAACCAACACCTCCTGGGCATGGTGGACTGCCCCATCTAGTGGCACTGAGGCCACTTACAGAGAGAATCAAGTGTCCACTCTACCGCTGTAGCTGAGAACCAGCTGGCTTTTAGCTCATGTAGTTGAGGTTCATGCACTAAGCTCCAGAGGTTCCAGGTTCAATTCTGCCCACAGATGCCTGGGGTCCACACCAGTGGTTGCAGCTGTTACATGTGTAACCCTTCTGCCGGGTAGGCCTGGCAGTAACCAGGGCTGGGTTCAATATCTTGGGGTCCATCTAACATAGAACCGGCTCGAGCCCCCACCCAGTAATCTGGGAAATTCACGCAGCCCTGGGTGCCTCTGAGAGGCAATGCTTCCCCACTCACAAGCACTGAGTCTGAGTGAAACATTTAATGAAACAGAGAGAGAAGTCATACGGCATTAACTTGGGGAAAACACCACAAACAGAGTTCATAACCCAAACATGAGCCAAGCCCCCACCCCAGCCAAGAATCGCCCAAAGTCCAAAAAAAGTCCAACACCCCAAAAGTCTCTGTCCCTGGTCCGTGCCACCCAGAGTCCCAAAGTTCACCCGCAGGGTTTCACCTCCCAACCTGGGTAGAAGTGGGGGGATAGATAGGGGGTACCTTATACAAAACTCCGCCACGCTCCACCAGCTGTCCCGTTCCACGCCTCTGGACACTCCACTGGGCACCTGCCCCCACTCCTCACCTGCTGCCACACCACTGGTCATCACTCCTCACCTGCCACTGCTCCACCCCACGCCGCTGGTTGCCGCCACTTCACTGGCTGCAATAGGGCTGGTGTTCAGCCAAACCAGTGATTTCAGCTCTTTAGCCACCAGCTGGACTAGCAAACAAATCCAGCTTTCACGGGACTAGCAAAAGAAAAGACTCTTCAGGGAGTCTGCTTTAGGTCTGTCCTTAAAACAAAGGGGGAAGGGTGCAGGCTGGGCTATTCTTATAGCTCACACCTGGCAGGCGTGACGCAGGCTGACTCAAACCTTTTAACCCTTTCCCCCAGCTCTGTTCACTCAACTCTGGAAGGGGGGGAGGCTTGTTCTTCCGAGACCTCTTCCCCTGATGGAGGGGTCTCTCCTGCAAGCACTGGTGGCATGTTTTACAGTTCCCACATTTAGGGGTAGCATGATTAGTGACCCCCACAACAGTCCCAAATTATATACACTTCTCCACATTCCATTCCAACACTGACCCTCCATCAGCCTGGCTGAATGGGATTTCCATAGCCACACCTCGGATTCTCTCCTGAGCTGTATTTACATGTCAACAGTTAACAGTTAATTACCTTGCAGAGCTAAACAACTGTAGTGGGCACACCCACCCCTCCTTTCAGCTGGCTGACAGCAAGCAGCAGTTCAGCCCCTGCTTACACATGTAAAATATGCTGGGTGGCCATGTATGTCTTGTAAAAACTGGCTTGGAGAAGAAGTGGATGTGTGTCCATTAGCGCTCATGCCTCCCCTCCAAACTCATCTGTCTGGATCCTGGTTTGGTTCCTTCTGTGCATCTTTAGTTTGTATCCTTGCTGGACACGGCGGCGCGCTGAAAGTGTGTCCCCTGTCAAAGCTGCCTGGCCTTTATCTTTGCCCTTTGTGGGTCTTGTCGAATCCTGGACTCCAGGGGAAGTCAACAGGTGGCCCACAGGCCATGCCAGGACTGCCAGATAGACCCCAACATCTCGTTATCAATATATTGTTATTGTCTTACTGTTATTTTTTCGGGAGTCTGGGCATGGGCTGTGTCTGACCAAGAAATCTGGACCTTGGCACACAACACATCGCCCTGGCTGTGCACAAACCTGCCACGTAAAACCACCCGCCATGTAAACCCAATGTAGTGTGTGAGCCAAATGTTTCAGCTCCCTTGCAGCTGCAAGAAGGCCATGCTTTGCAAAGGATCTGTCAGCCCACGCTGTAAGGTATTCAAATCACTACGAGTTTCAGAGAGGTAGCCCTGTCCCAGAAGGGGCGGGGCCTCAGGCCAAAGGGGTGGGGCTGGAGAGGCCCCCTTTGCGCCCCTCCCCCGTCAACATTCCTGGCCAGGTAAATCTGTTTCAGCAGAAAGTGCCCAAATAAATGAGTTGGTCTTGCTTTTGCTACTCGCTACAGTTACTGCAAGGAGTCAAATCATTTGAATCCTCTTAAATGTTGCAAAGAAATTAAAAATTCAGGTCAGCAGGCTCCATCAGCAGTACTCTGAGAGAGACTCAGACTCCCAAAAACGTAGTTCCCATTTTAATAAACAAGGAAACAGCACCTGTCCGTTTCTGGTCAGCGTTTACGTTCCTCAGATAATACGTCCAACTGCACAGCCACCCCGGAAAACTGGAATTCAGACCCTGTCGAAGGCCAAAGTGTTCTCACTGCAAAACAGCTGTTTCAGAGGAAGTAGCGATGGGCGCTTATTGATCATGGTGAATATGGCGCAGCAGTGGAAAATATAGCTTGGAACAGTGTCTGCATTTTAGTGGGGCTGTGTGACGGCGCGTTGGGGGTCCCCCGTCTCCTGCACCCCGAAATGGCACAAACAGACTCCACCAGCCAGTAGAATTGAGGGTGGTTTATTGCTCCTCCAGGATACAGCACAGCACAGATGTAATCTGGTTACAGGAACTGGGGCTAAGAGGCCTCAGTGCCCCCTTGAGATGGGGGGATCCCAGCCCCCTCCCCAGTTCCTTCTTCCCTGTTTTCCAGCCAGGAACCCCCACTACGTCACATGCTGAGCTGAGGTTAAGAAGAGCAGAGTTGGATAAGTTTTTTCAGACGGACACAAATTTGGGTCAATTGGAAACACTTTGAGAAGTTGTGTCAAATTCTCCAAATTGAGTCCGGAAAAAAAAATTCCAAAAAAGCCAAAACATTTTATACTTTTCATCCTAAGTTTGATTTGTACTTCATTTGTATTAAACAAGGGGGGGAAACTCAAGTGAATTGCCTCATTTGACCCAATACAATTTTTTTTCTGATTCTTTTATTCCACTTTCTTTTTTCATATTTGTTTTGGGACCACCCAGGAAAAACCCTTTGATTCAGGCACAGAACTGAAACATGGGTGACATGGACAACTCCAGAGAGGGGCTTACGGTGAACAGCCAGAGTTTCTAGTTCAGACATAATTCTTTACTTAGACTGTGAATCCTGCACTTTGGAGTGGGAACTCCTTTGCGTTATGTCTGTCCAGCTCTTGACCTCAGTTGTGTTACAGAGTTATTTAGCATCTATTCACCAGGAGTATTACTGTCACTGGAGGCTTCCCCTGAGTTGAAAAGGATGGCAGAACAGCACTCCCTCAAAGCTTTGAACCATGGCTCCTCAGATGACCCTGGCTGAAGTAATTCTCCTTCACTCTCTCCTCAGGTTACAAAGGATTGTTCGGCCGATGTGTCAGTACTTTACTTCCTACAAGAGGCCCCTTTGACATCTGTGAAATGCACCCAGCAGCAGGTGAGCTGTTACCTGGCCAGGTAGGCGCATGACATGGGCGTCATGGAGCCTGTGACACCCTGCCAGTGGATTTTGTCCCTTGACTGTCCCTGTGAGGAGATGGATACAGATCCAGCGTGTGTGTTTTCTTCAGCTGGCCATTGGTTTTCTCATCTCCGGAGTACCCACAGGACAGCTCTTCTGTACACACGTGGGGCTACCAGCACGAGGGGGCTGTGCGGTCTCCATGGTTACACATAGTGCTGCGAAGGCCTTAGCCCTAGGTAGAGATGTGTGCCTGCCTCGTGGGCCCAACAGGTGCCTGGACATTAGTCGCTTCCAAGACTGAGGCTCCTATTCTGCCTTCCGTCGGTGTGGGCCTCAGTGGAAGCTGCTCGTGGACTCGCTGGGGGACTGGATTTTCCCTTCTCTGGTGCGGGAGGGGAGGGAAGGGCAGGAACAAGTCACCATGGGTTCCTCTGTCCTTCACTCTGACCATGGCTGGAAGGAGCAGAATCAGGGTTGAGATGAGTGACCCGGTCCAGTCTTCAGAGGCGGCTGCTGCCCCAGAGGTGACCACAGGGATCGAAGTGGTTTCAATTCAGGGCATTTGCGGGGCTGAGCAAGGGAAATTTGGCCCATGTGTAACCCACGCTCCAAGGCTGTGTCTACACTCACGGCTTCTTGCGCGAGTATGACCGTTCTTGCGCAAGAATCTGCAGAGCGTCTCCACTGCCCGCCTGCTCTTGCGCAAGGAAATGTACAGTACGGCGTGGTAAGAAAGGGCTTCTTGTGCAAGAGCTATGCTCTTTTTTATCAGGTGTAAGCCCTCTTGTGCAGGAGCTCTTGCGCAAGAGGGCAGTGTGGACGCTCGGCAGGGATTTCTTGCGCAAGAAAGCCCTATGGCTAAACTGGCCGTCAGAGCTTTCTTGCACGAGAGCATCCACACTGCCATGAGAGCTCTTGCGCAAAAGCATAGCTCGCACATGGCAGTGTGGACATTCTCTTGCACAAGAGTTCTTGCACAAGAACCCTTGCGCAAGATGTTCTTGTGCAAGAAGCCGCGAGTGTAGACATACCCCTAGTGTGGTTACTGAGCAATGCAAGTGATACCTAGACCACAGCAACAGTTAAGCTCAAGAGACCACTGCAGCATGGGCTGGGAGCCACGTGGCTTTTAGCTCAGAGGGTAGAGGTTCCTTCACAGAGGTCCAGGTTCAAATCCACCTGCTGGTGGTTACACATGCTCTCCAGTAGCAGCCAACTGGGGAAGATGGGTGGTTTGGTAGAAGACAATGACCCAGGAACCCGGCCTTGCAGGAGCCAATATTAACCCTTCTGATTTCTTTGAATCCCAGGGGGTGAAAAAACCCAGCAAGAAACCAAAACCCCAGGCCATGACCTTCCCCAAAGTGACTGTCGAGTACTTCCCAGCATCTTTCTCCACCGCGGCCCTGACGGTGCCAGAAGACTAAAGCACAGTCCACTTCCAAGTCTGCTGCCTTCACAGGGCCTGTGTGTTTTCCCGCCACGCCGCCTCATCTGAGAGCTTGGGGGTTCATGTTATTCCTGGCTAGGTTTTTTTGCTTTGCATTGGCAGGTCTGGAAAGTCTCTTGTGCAAGGGGGGAATCTTTTCACGTTCATGTTGCGGCTGAGAAGAGAATAAGGAATGAAGAGCATAGTGGTGGTGCCCTTTGCTTGCAGACCTCAGACCCATCCTATCCACCCCTCCGCTCCGGCTCCCTGCCAGCTTCCCTTCCAGAGACAGCTGTTCCCTGGGGGTGCCCTTTGCTCGGTAGTTGTCCAAGGTGTAGGCATTTTGGTGCCGTTGTTTTCAGGTACCACATCTGAGCGCCTTTACCAGGGCCTGATTTTTCTGCACCTGCCCTGTGAAAGCCGGGCCTGTGTTAAAGAAGTCACCAGGTAAGGGCCATGGTGATCGTTACCACCCCCCCACCCATCAGTGCAAAGGGGGCAACTTCCCTGTGCCCCAGCAATTCAAAAGGACCCAGGGCTCCTGGCCGCTGCCCCCTACTGTGGCAGCAGTGGCAGGTGGAACCCCAGGTCTTTTAAATCACAGCTGGAGCTGCGCATTCTGAACAGCTTTGAGGGCTGGCTGCCCTTGTTCTCACCCCTTCTGGGAGCACGGAGGTGGTCCCCCGCCTTGCCCCGGGGCCCAGCAAGTCTGTTGGCCCCCTGCCCCCACCGTCCCTGGCCTGACAGCTGGGGCTTTTCGTAGACCCAGCTCCTGGAGTCGTGGGATGGCGCGAGAATCTCGGCTGTTTGTGTGCAAGCCATAAAAGCAGGTGTCTCGCCCCCACGGTGGCAGAGAAAAGCTTGAAATCCTGGGGCGCCGGGGCTCAGAAATCCAAAGGCTAATAAAAGAACCCCCGCTTTAGAAGCCTGTGACTTGTCATGTTTGTTGGTGATTTGGGGGACCCTGGAGTCGAGGGATTCCCCGGGCCCCACCCCTGTGCGATCAGCAGAGGGGGGCAGGCAAGGCAGCATCTTGCTGCGGGGAAGGGACGTGCTGCCTGGAGATGCTGTGAAGGGAAGGCTGAGAGGAAAGGGCCGGAGCTGGGCAGAACTTCGTCCCAGTTAAGTGGCTGTTTCAGGCTTACTCAGGTTTCCCCTAGTGTCCCAGAAACGCCCCCCTGGCAGGCTGTGTTCTCCAGCAGAGCCTCTCTGGGTAACAGCTGAATCCGTATGGGGAAAAGGCTTCCAGCAGTGTTTAAGGGCTCAAACCACTCCCCTCCGTTACACCCGGCTGCTCCTCCCCAGAGGTGCCTGCCTGGTTCCCAGGTCAACATCTCTGGCCCGGCTCCTGCTGGTCAGTATGGTGCCATAGTGAACAGCGCCCCCTAGTGACCCTTTTGGAGCTGCTCTCCCCTAGTAATTTTTCCCCCCCTTTTTCAGCAAAACACTCGGCAGCGTCTCGACAGCAGAGTTAAATCGGGAAAAGAGACGCCGTTGTTTTCTGATTTTCTGTTGAAAGAGGCTTTTCTCAAAGGGGGCGTGTCTACCCAGTGCCAAATTTCAGAAAAAATTTTCTGCCCCGTGAAAGCCCAGGTGGGTTGGGCCCTGGAGTGGCTGAGGGGACAGGGCATTTGCCCAGGGCACACAGGGTGGTGGGTTCTAGGCAGGGAGATGGCTTGGGTTTTCAAGTGGCCTAGGGGGTAGGGCATTGGCTTGGGGACCTGTGGGTTGGACCCCCACCAGTTGCTCTTTCAACATATGCCTTGTTTGAATGACATTTATGGGGATGGCAAAAGAGCGCATCCGCTTTTTCCAAATTTTTTCCAAAAAAGGAGGCGCGTTCCCTGGACATGATATTGCTTTTCCAGGATACCCTGTGACTGAGTTGGGGCTGGTCCTCCTTTGGGCAGCGGGCTGCATTTGATGGCCTCCTGACGCCTCTTCCAGCCTTATGATTCTAGGATCTCCAGCGGCCGGTGATGGGACGCTAGGTGGGCAGGGCTCTACGTGACGACGGAGAATTCTGTCCCAGGTGTCTGGCTGGTGGGTCTTGTCCTCATGCTCCTGGTCTGAGGAGTCACCATATTTGGGTTTGGGAAAGAATTTTCCCGTGTCAGACTGGGGGAGACCCTCGGGCGGGCGTTGCCTTCACTGCAGCCTGAGCCACGGGTCACGGGCAGGTTTGAACTAGTGTACATGGTGGACTCTCTAACTTGAAGTCTGAGCCATGATTTGAGGACGTCAGTCGCTCAGCCAGAGGTCGGGGTCTGCTACCGGAGCGGGTGGGTGAGGTGCTGTTGCCTGCCCTGAGTAGCTCACTCTAGATTGGGTGGGGGGGCAATAATTTTTTGCCAGGGGCCACTTCGAAAAGTTTTAAAGTGGCCTCGGGCCGCACAGGAAGGGGAGGGGCCAAGATATTTCCAGGTTCCCCAACCCCAGACAACGATTGGTCCGGGGGTGAGGGAGTGCCTTTGCCCCCACCCCAAGTTCCCCCAAGGTGGCCGTGTCCCTGGTGTGGGAGGAGACTTCCCTCCCTCCCTCTCCCTCCCCCCCCCCCCCCCCCC